TATACCAACTATCCTGTAACGCTTCCCGTGAGGAGGCCCTATTCAGGAAATCCAGGTAAATTCAACAAATGCTTTGAAAACCAAATCGCCATCTTTCAGGAAAAAATACAAAGAACACTTCATATTGATGCCTGAAAAACTTATTAAGCAATTGATCTCTTTCCAATTCTGGTTGTGATTTGCATATTTCGTATTCTTTAATATGAAGATCATTACCATTGATATGTACCTGCAGAACTTCTTGACGAGGAAGAATTTGGGGAAGCTTCCCGAAGCTTGACTTATGATGAGAATTCCATAAAACCAGCAATGGATCTTGGTCTAATGGTTAGTAAACTGGTTGATGGTTTGACTTCAACTTATTACTAAGTAGTTTCCATGAATCCTTACGTGAATGATTGGTAGGAGGAGAATCTGGAGGAAAAGATGTTCTTGGTGCAATTACCAACCCTGCCAATGTTGAAGCAATCTATTAAAACAGAAGGCAGTGAGATGGCGAACAGCTCAAAGCCTTCAAAAGCTAAGGCCTGCAGTTTAAATGAGTTACCTGCAGGATTCATGGGTAAAATGTTAGTGTACAAAAGCGGCGCTGTTAAGCTGAAGCTTGGTGAAACCCTTTTTAATGTAAGTTTGCTTCATTATATGATTTTCTTAAGGCATATGTTAGTTTAGATACATGTCAGATTATTTGTCCTTGCGGATAAGCTCCCACCTTTTTTTGCTCCCTTAGTGACTTGATCCCACAACCTTTAAATAAAAAAGAGAAACCCTTTATGCTGATGGTAAATAGCTTAACACATTGAAATACTGATCTTGTAACTGTTCATTATGAAAACACTAATTTATTCAAGTGCATTATTGGTAGAAATCTATGCGGGCATTGTTATTGGCATCTGACATCTCAAAATGGACTGCAGCTTTCTCCAGGTATGGATTGCTCGTTTGCCCAGGATGTTGTTGCGGTTAATACAGAAGAGAAGTATTGCTCTAACATTGGGGAGCTCACTAAGCGTATCATTATAACACCAGATGTGGATTCACTCTTGGATTCTATCTGATTATGTTGGTGTAGTTGCTATTTATTAAGCTTTAGTTATACATATAGCAATTAACTATTCTTATTTGAAGTTAGCACAGCTTTATACCCCTTGTAAGCACTTATTTAGCCCTTTTCAATGATGAACAATTAGCATAATACATGAAATTTGTTTGTTCTTTCATAAGACTAATATCCATGTTTGAGGTTTGCATTTACTGTGTCAATCAAGTTGATATTGCGCCAAATACATGAAAAGTCACTCCTACCATTTGGCTAGGTGCTCAATTTTTATCTAATGATGAATGAGTAGACAATGAAATTTAGTTTTCAAGAGAAAGGTGATGGTGATGGTGATGATAAGTTTGTAATTGATGACATTCATAGATTATATCACTCGTTGTATTTGGTATTCAGGATTAACTTTTCTAGTTTTAAACAACTGGATATAGACTTGTAAATACAGTGCACCAGAAGGAAAAGGGAGAAAGTGTCACCCCTGGACAACTGAACATGTCCAAAGAGTCTTTACTGGTAGGAATTTTTTTTCTGGAGTTCAGTTGAAATAAGGTGCATCTCCTAAGTGGTTTTTATGTGAAGAAATACATTATTGTTAGATGTTACTGAAGCATAAGGATCAGTGCTCATGTCAAACCCACGGCCAGCATTGTAGAACCAGGCGGGGGTTCCACAAAACCCACCGCTTCTGGCTCCAACATGTGAAAACAAATATCAATAGGGTTGGACATATATTTCATAACCTACATTTTTAATCACAAACTCATGATGTCAACATCCCACATTTCCCACATCTTTGTGAAATTCAGGGATCAATTCTTTGTGTTTGTGAAATTAGCATTACAACAAATTCCACTTAACACCACCAGGCTAAGGATTCCTTCCAAATCAACTCATTTTCCTCAAATCTAAGGAAAATAACTTTCCTTCCAAAATTAAGAAAAACATTTTCCAAACTCTACTTCATCCTTTTATTTTTTTTCTTACCCTACTCATACCCCGTACCCGACCCTCCTTGTTCAAAAAAAAAAATTAAATTTTTTAAATTTTCTTTTTTTTAAAAATTCAAATATATTTTATTCCTACCCTCAAACCAGCACCACCCCCCCCCCCGGGTGCCACCCCAACCAGGCCACCCGATAATTATTTAAAAAAAAAAAAAATTGTTTTGAAAAATATTTCAAATTTTAAGGAAAATCATTTTTTATGCCACCCCCAACCCACATCAACCTCCAACTATTAAATTATATTAATTCCATGACTTTTGATTTTTCATATTCATAACCTCCAACTATTAAATTATAAAATTTAAGACAGTTTAGGATATTCTTTCATTTTTGTCTATAAATTCACAAGTTTTTTGTTTCATGAAATCTCAATTCAAGATTTTCATTGTTCTTTGTAGCATTATTCTCTTATCAAATTTATGCTTTAATTTGACACCATGAAGAGGACTCTTGACTGTTGATTCATTTCTATTTTTATTTATTTTCTTACTATAAGGTCCTAAGGAAGATCTATGTGTTTATGTTTTCTCCATGTAACTTTTTTAGTTTGAATTTTTATATTTTTTTTTATTATTGAAAGTCTGTAATTTGTTTAGATGCAAATTAGTTATTGTAACTTTGTGTTTAACTATAAAATTTTATTATTGCAAGTCTGTATTTTTGTTTAGATGCAAATTAGTTATTATAACTTTATGTGAAATAATATTAACTATTAGCCAAGGTTCAACAATACTATTATATTGTACAGAAAACTATTTATGTTTTCTTTAAAAATTTCTCTATTTTGTCCCTATAAATTCATAAACCTTTTTTTTTATGAAACCCCTACTCATATTTAAAATCTTATTTTCCTTGTATTATTATTGTAGTAAAGCATGACTCAATAAAGAGGGCTCTTGGATGTTGATTAGTTAGCCAGAGGGAGTGTTGACAAGAGCTCAAATAAAGTTGAATAAGAAAATTGTGACATGGCTCTCTCTATGAGCTTCAATCCTATTTCTCTTTTTTATTTGTTATTTTAAAATACAAAAAAATCATCTAAATATTAAAACTTGTAATGACTTGTTCCGGTCGTTATAGAAAAGCCATCGGGGAAAGAATTTGGGTCATAAAACTTTTTCGTAGTAACTTGAGAATTCCTAGCCCAGTCCAAATTTGAACGAATTCGGAGTCATTAAGGTCTAGGGAGACCTGCTAACGAATGAGAGATTCGAATTATGATTTTGATCACATGAGTAGATAGCCAAGGCGTTAAGGAACCCATACGACTTTACAGAATCAAATTGGGGGGAGTAGAACTCCCGAAACTGATCTTAGCACACTGAAGCGTTTGCCCAGTGGTCAATGTGCACCCATCGAAATCGTTCACCCTCGCGGAATTTGGGTTTGAATCCCTATAGGCCCACTGTTTTTTTTTAATAATTTCTAAATGCGTTTTATATTTTAAAATAATAGAATATCGGTATAGGTGGGTTTATATAAATAAAAAATAATTGTTAAATAAAAAAAAGAAAAGAAAAATAGTATTTGTATCGTACTCTGAAACTACAATATCTGACTATTACTCACATTCAAAAAGTTTAACTCAATTATTTTTCCAAAAGTTAGGGTTCTAACTTTTATTGTTGATCTAATTGCTGCTATCCAACATCTGGCCTCCGGTGTGTACTCTTGTCTCTCCCTTTTCATTTTTTCCTTATTCGTTTGTTTTGACATTGTACAATTAGTTATTCAAAAATTAATTTTTAATCTTTGATTCTATTATCCAACATATTGATAATTGATAATATTAAATTAATTGTTGTTTGCTTTTTAAAATTTTAACTTTTGATGGCATTAATGGTTCAAGATGATAGTGAAACTAGTAAAATATATGTTTTAGGTGCCAAAATATTAATGTTGAATTTAATAATTTTAATCTCACTTCAAACAATATTGAAGATTATACTAAAAATGTTCAAAATTTTAATTTTAAAAAAATATTTATCTTTTATTAACAATATTATAGAACTTTAAATTAAATTACTCAAATCTTTGTATTATCAAATTAAGTTTTTTACAATAACAATATCTAAGGTAATGTTTTCAAACACATGACTAACATCTCATTAACATAATTTATGTTTTGTGGTTTTTTAGGATTTTTAAGAAAGAGTCAATATGATTACAATTTTTTTTCAAGCCTCAAACTCATTCAAATACTGCTCCTACCTCTCCTTTGTCAAGTTTGGCATCGCCTGTTGATCTTGTTGAAGCATTGGATGATGATAAAGTGTTAACCAATTTGGATCTTAAATTCGATCCAGCTGAAAGAACACAAATTTCAAAATTATCTCCTAATATACGTGACCAAGTGAGGAGATATTATATACAAAAGGGACCTTGTCAACCTATTTATTTTACTTTTCCAATAAGAGATTTTGGAGGAACACCGCGTCACTTTAATTGAAAATTGTTTTAAAAACCTCCATATTCTCAATGGCTAGAATATAGCATTAAAAAGGATGCAACATATTGCTTATGTTGTTACTTGTTTAAAAATGAGATTGGAGGATATGGGAAAGTAAGTGATTCTTTCACAACGAAAGGTTTTCGAAGTTGAAATAAAGCTTTAGAAAGATTGAAAAAGCATCTTGGTGAAACCAACAGTGTTCATGTTCGTTGTTTCAAGATGATGCAAGATTTAATGAATCAAAACCAATCTATTCTGGCTTCATTTGACAAGAAATCCAAAAAAACAAAGGTGAGTATCAGATTCGCTTGAATGCTTCGATTGATGTGGTAAGATAATTGTTGAAGGAAGGAATGCTTTTTCAAGGTCACAATGAGGGGTAAAGTCTACCAGGAGAGGTCATTTTCTAAATCTCTTAAAGTGGTATGCGGATAGAAAAGAAGAGGTAAAAAATGTTGTATTAGAAAAAGCTCCAAAAAATAATAGTATGACTTCTCCAGATATCCAAAAGGATATTGTAAATTCTTGTGCAAAAGAAAGAGTGAAAGCAATTATTGAAGACTTGAATGGGGATTACTTTGGAATATTGGTTGATGAATCTAAGGAGTTTCTCATAAGGAACAAATGTCCTTTGTTCTGCGGTATGTCAACAAAGAAGGTAAGCTTATTGAGAGATTTCTTGGTCTTGTTCATGTTAAAGACACTTCTGCAAAGTCATTGAACGAATCAGTCTACTCTTTGCTTATAGACCATTCTTTGAGTCGATCATAAATACGAGGCTAATGTTATGATGAAGCTTGTAACATGCAAGGAGAGCTTAATGACCTTAAAACTTTGATTTTGAAAGATAATTCTTCGGCATATTGCATTTATTGCTTTGCTCATCAATTGCAATTGACTTTGGTAGCTGTTGCGAAAAAACATCATGATGTGAATAATTTTTTTGACATTCTTTATAATGTTTTAAATAATGTTGGAGGTTCTTTTAAGCGCAGGGAAATGCTTCAAGGGGATGAAGCTGAAAAATTAGAGGAATTATTAATGCTTGGTGAAGTTCATACAGGAAGTGGATTAAACCAGGAACTCGGACTTCAAAGACCAGGTGATACTAGGTGGAGATCTCATTTTAAGACAGTACATAACTTCATTTCCTTATTCTCATCAATTGTCTATGTACTTGAAGTTCTTGAAAATGAGGGGGTAAATTATCACGAGAAAGCAATGGCAAAAAGTCTAGTGGGAGACATTAAATCTTATGAGTTTATCTACATATTGCACTTGATGTTAAAGATTTTGGAAATTACATATGATTTGAATATGGCTCTGCAACGAAAAGATAAAGATATTGTTACTGCCATGAAGCTTGTCGATCTTGCAAAGAAACAATTGCAATCGATGAGGGAATCTAAATGGAATTCTTTGGTAGAAGATATATACCTATTTTGTGAAAAGAATGATATTATGATCCCTAAAATGGATGAGAAATATGGTCTTGGAAAGTCGAAGCGTAAAAGTTCAAGTGTTACATATTCTCATCATTTGTGTGTGGAAGTTTTTTATGCTGTTATAGATTTGCAGCTTTTAGAACTTAACAATAGCTTTAATGCAGTGAATATTGATCTACTTCTAGGAATGGCTAGTTTGAGGCCCGATAATTCCTTTATAAATTATGATAAAAAGATCATGAAGCTTGCAACGTATTATCTGAATGAATTTGATGCTTCCAAGATTAAAGAGATTAGTTTTGATCTAGACACTTATATTTACTATGTAAGTAAAGAGGACAACGCTTTCTCAAATTTGAAAGGGCTTGGAGATCTTTCGATGGCATTGGTAAAAACAAATATGCACAAGACACAGGGACTTGTTTATTTGCTTTAAAGTTAAGCTTGATAATACCCCTGGCTACTGCAACAGTGGAAAAAGGTTTTTCCTCAATGAAGTTCGTTAGAAATGACTTCCGAAGTAGAATGGGCAATGACTTTTTAAATGATTGTTTAGTTTGTTATATAGAAGATGAATTATTTGAAAGTGTACCTATTGATATGATCATTGATTGTTTTCAAAATATGACAACTCGTTGAGTGCAATTGTAATGATAATGCTTATATATATAATGTTTAAGTAATTCACCATTTTTATTGAATTAAATACTTGTATTTGTTCGTTAATTTGATAATTGTTACTTTAGGTTAAGATCGTTGTTCTTTTTAAAAATTTAGAACCCACTGACATGAAATCCTGGCTCCGCCTTTGGTTGAAGGTGTGTTGTGAAATGGGGGTTTGAAACTCAACTTTTGACTCTCTATTTCCGTGCAAGCCGCCAGGGCAGAATTAATCCCGCAAGGGCGGGGCCGCTGTGGCGGGTTGGGTCCTGCTACGGCGGGCCAGTCGCAAATTAAGTCAGAATTAAACCCTAAAAATATTATTTTCTTCAAGTTTTATTTTTGAGAGCTAGGAGACGACCCCAGATGATTTCCAGACAGTTTTCCACTATTGTTTGTGCTAAAGGTAAGGATTTTACTCTCCTAATCCATTGTTCGATCTGTAGAATTTAGATTTATGGGTGATTATCAATGGGGGAGGGTTTTGACCTGAAAACTAATGGTGAAAAAATCCCTCAGTTGGGTATTGGGATCTCGAGTTTGGCCTAGGGTTGATAATTTCGATTGTAATCCGGGTAATTAGACCTTACTTATTGATCCTCGTATTGAACTGATTGTTTGTAGACCTAGAACAAGTAGAAAGAATTCGAAAAGGGAAGAATCAAGTTTCTTAGGAGGATTCACACTTATTTTCGAGGTAGGTGATGGTTTGATTTCATGTTTGTGTGATGTATGCTAGTATTTGCTTTATTGTAGTGCATGTATGTATGCGAATGTTGCACTATTGATCACATCTAATGCAAATGAGTATGAATGAATGATTGTATGCCATGAATCAACACTTGATTGTATGATTATGAGAATGTACATTGTGATTGTGATTATGGCTTGTTGAATGGACCGGGTGTTACGTTCCAACACACTAATTGGGATCGGATGTCATGTACCGACATACATATGGGAACGGGTGTCACATTCCGACACACTAACTTGGATCGGGTATCACAATCTGGCACACTATCTTGGATCGGGTGTCATTCCGGCACACTAATAGCTTGGGTATGGGTTCCATAAGAGGACCATTGCAGAGGTTTAGGGAGGCCGACACTTGCAGCCCGGCCAATTCAGTCCGCTATGCCCATATCCACATGTAGTTACTTGGGAACTCCACCTCAAAATTTGATTCAAGATAGCCAAAGAGCCGCACCTTCGACGGGCAGCATGCCATCTTTTGATCGCACTTGTTATAATTGTGGAGAACCTAGGCATATGAGGATAGATTGTCCCCAACCGCGCATGTTGGATTCCATGCAACAGTAGACTAAAGCAGTGGTACCCAGAGGAAATGGTAATAATGATCGAGGATGTCCACAAGGTGGGCGAGGAGGAAATGAGCGAGGCCACAGAGGTCAGGGAAATTGTAACGCAGGCAGAGGTACGGCGCAACCAGGCAGGGAAGTCGCCCGTCAAGATAATAGGGCTCAGTGTTACGCCTTTCCAGGCAAGAGTGAGGTAGAGTCTTCTAACGCAGTGATCACATGTACCATTCTTGTCTGTGACCAAATGGATAATGCGGTATTTGATCCGGGTTCTACTTATTGTTATGTGTCCGTTCATTTTTCCTTGGGATTTGATATGATTTGTGAAATACTTGATGCCTCTATCCATGTTTCTACCCTAGTTGGAGAGTTTGTCATAGTCACCCATCTTTATCGAGCTTGTTCTGTTATGTTTATGGGTTTCCAAACTTGGGCTGATTTGGTTATTTTAGATATGATGGACTTTGATATAATCCTAGGTATGACTTTGTTGTCCCCCTATTATGTTGTGCCTAATTGTAACACTAAGTCTGTGACTCTAGAAATTCCGAGTAGGGAAAATTTAGAGTGGGAAGGGATGTACAAGCCAGCTAAGATCATATCCTCCATTCGGACTAGAAAACTGGCGGGGAATGGTTGTTTGGCATATTTGGCTGATATTCGGGATGTTGAGGTTGAGTGTCCCTCTATTGAGTCTATTCATGTGGTGTCAAAATTTAGAGAAGTGTTTCCTACTGATTTGCCTCGTATGCCTCCGGATAGAGATATAGATTTTTGCATTGATTTGGAACCTGGTACCCGCCCCATTTTCATCCCTCCGTATCGCATGGCCTCGGTAGAATTGAGAGGGCTTAAGGCTCAATACAAGAGCTTCTTGATAAAGGTTTTATCCGTTCTAGTGCTTCCCCGTGGGGTGCTCCTGTCTTGTTTGTTAAGAAAAACGATGGTAGTATGCGAGTGTGCATATATTAACGGCAATTGAATAGAGTCACCATTTGAAACAAGTACCCATTGCCTCGAATATATGATCTTTTTGACCAATTGCAAGGTGCATCAGTTTTCTCTAAGATTGATCTAAGATCTGGTTACCATCAGTTAAAGGTTAGGCTTGGAGATGTACCCAAGATGACATTTAGAACCCGCTATGGGTACTATGAGTTTCTCGTTATGTCGTTTGGGTTGACAAATGTGCCTGCAACTTTCATGAGTTTGATGAATGGTGTGTTCAAACCATTTCTCGATTCGTTTGTTATAGTTTTTATTGATGATATTCTAGTTTATTCAAAGAGTAAGGAAGAGCATGCCGACCATCTTCGTATTGTTCTGGGTGTTCTTGAGAGACAAAAGTTATATGCCAAATTTTCTAAGTGTGAGTTTTGGTTAGATTCAGTTCCCTTTTTGGGGCATGTAGTTTCAAGAGAAGGGGTAATGGTAGATCCCCAAAATATTGAAGCGGTTAAGAATTGGGTTCATCCTAGTTCTGTGACAAAAGTTGGGAGTTTTGTGGAGATCGCTAGCTACTATCATCGATTTGTGAAGAACTTTGCTTCTATTGCCACGCATCTGACAAGGTTGACCAAAAAAGAAGTACCTTTCGAATGGATCGAAAAATGTGATAAGAGCTTTCAAAAGCTCAAGACTCTTTTGACCACAACACCTATTCTAGCACTATAGGTGGAAGGTAAAGATTTTATTGTTTATTGTGAGGCCTCACATTCGGGTTTGAGTGTTGTATTAATGCAGGATAAGAATGTTATAGCTTATGCATTGCGACAACTGAGGGTGAATGAGAGAAATTACCCAACACATGATTTAGAGTTGGCAGCGGTAGTGTTTGCTCTTAAGATCTGGCGACATTACCTCTATGGTGTCAAGTGTTAGGGGTTCACTGATCATCGTAGTCTACATCATATGTTCACTCAAAAGGATATGAATTTGAGACAACAAAGGTGGATGGAGTTACTTAAGGATTATGATGTGACCATCCAGTATCATCCAGGTAAGGCTAATATAGTGGCAGACGCGCTAAGTCGGAAGGCGGTGAGTATGGGTAGTCTAGCTTGAGTGTATCCAAGCGACCTTTGGCTAAGGAAAAACCTTGGAATCTAAGTTCATACGGTTGGGTATCTTAGAGAAAGGTGGGGTGTTAGCTAGCATTGAGGTAAGGGCCACATTCATTGAGGAGATCAAGACCAAATAGTTTGAGGATGAGAATTTGAAGGGGCATAGAAAAAGGACAGTGTCTGGTAAGACACAAGATGTGACTTTAGATGCGGGGTGTGTGCTCAGTTTTAAAGGAAGGATTTGTGTCCCTTGAGTAGATGACTTGATTCAGAATTTGTTGACAGAATCTCATGGTTTGCGGTATTCTATTCGTCCGGGTGTGACCAAGATGTACCGAGACTTGAAGCGACTATATTGGTGGCCGGGCATGAAGAAAGATATAACATAGTTTGTGGCTAAGTGTCATAATTTCCAATAACTAAAATATGAGCATCAAAGGCCGGCAAGTTTGCTTTAGAGAATGCCAATTCCGGAATGAAAGTGGGAAAAAATAGCTATGGATTTTGTGGCTGGTCTTCCCAAAATTTTGGGAAAGTCTGATTCTATTTGGTTAGTGGTTGACAGATTGACTAAGTCAGCCCATTTTATTCCAGTCAGAATAGATGATATTGCGCAACAATTGGCTAAGGTGTATGTAAATGAGATAGCAAAGCTGCACGGGGTGCCCCTTTCTATCATCTCAGACCCAGTACGTAATTCACATCCAAGTTTCGGAGGAAATTACATGATGAATCGGACACCCAACTCACTTTTAGTACAACTTTCCATCCATAGACGGAGAGGACTATCCAAGTGTTGAAGGACATGTTGAGGGCATGTGTGATGGACTTTGGAGAACATTGGGATAAGTTGACACCAAATTTTGTTCCTCCTTTCTTTTACTTTATTTCTTTGTTGCTAAAAAGTCGAATACTTTATAATTCGTTATTATTTACATTTATCACTATTGCTATCGTAATTATGTATTACTTTAGTTTATTATTATCATATTTCTATCATCATTTTCACTATTTTAAAAGTATATTTTTACTATCAACATTATTATTAACACTTTATTGTTTTCTTCTTTAAAATAGATTGTCGTTACTTTATTTCAAATTTTCTTACTTACTAAACTTTTTATATATTATACTAGTTATTAAATTAGAAGCTCAAACAAATTAATTTCAAGGAAGGAAAAGGCCATGAAAATCTATCCATTTTCCAGCCCATTTATAACCCAAATGAGCAGCCCATACGCCCAAATCATCTAAGCCCATCTAATCTCTATTGATTCTATCTTAGCATCAGCCCATATCATTTTTCAAATACAAAGATAAGACTTTACCCTAATCCCTACATACAAACAAAGTACTGCACCATCTTCTTCCCTCTTCCACTTTTGATAGAAAAA